CCTACATGCATTGACGAATGACGAAGACAACGCACGTTTTATCAAGGCAAAAAATACCACAGATCGGTTCTCAGAATGTCGTATAGGTTTAACTGTCGTTACAGAGATTTTGATCATCCAAATCGAGAACGACCCTATCTTCTCTATCTTATTTTACGATATCATTCTCCAAATATCTGTTCCAACAGATCATCTTTGCCGTTCCCGTAAACTGCCGCTCCTTGTTCAAATGGTAGGCAGCACAGCAAAAATCTTGCCGTGATTTTTCTGGGATTAATACTACAGGCTGCAGCACCTCAATCCTCGTATGTTTCAAAAATGACCGCAGATCTTCACGACCAAGCAGCAGCTTAACAGTAAACACTTCAATATATTTCGTGCTGTCCTACCTATAATATCTTGATGCTTGTCTGATTTCCATCAGGGCGATTCCAAGGAAAGACTACGTAGAAATTTACAATCATGCAGTCATGCCTATAAGCGTAGCCATAGTAAAAACAGGAGTTCATATAGGTATCAATTGTCAAACCATAAAACCTACGATTTTAGGATCAGCGTCTTAATACTAGTATTCGAAACATACATAATATTCAATAGATTTAATTTCATAAGCAGTTTCGGTGTGATATCGTCGACAGCTTTAAAATTTCAACGATTATCATTTTTTCAATGCGCCTACAACGTAGAACAACCGTCATTACGATGTCAGCAGCCACCACATCTTCGTTTAGGAAAGTAATGGTCAGCGAAGCGCTACGTGCTGGCATAACAACCTAATCCTTTTCTTTAATCATATTCATATTGTTTCGTTGTGCACGCCTACTACAGGCTGAACATTTTTTTACACTGTAGCATTACGTTTTCCACCTGATATCAAGCAATTTGCCATGGTCCCACTAAAAAAATTAAACAATCCTACAGCCGTTTAAAATGTGGTAAATACCGTGCGCATGGGAAGCACACTAGGGAAGGAAATTTATAAAGTATGGAATACTCGGTACCAAATAGTATATATGCATTAATGCACTTCGAATATTTTTGGCTACAGCATTCACTGTATAGTCTGTGTATGCTGTAGATTCGAAATTTCATGTATACACGGATACAGTAGTGCAATGCCACACAATGGACCAAAAGTAGTTCGACTGGATCTGACAAAACTCAACAACAAAAATAACTTGTCTCATATCGTCAGGGCGAAGGGTTGGTCCGTAAGGGATGTGACAATTCTGGGTAATTCAAACGGTCATCATTTGCCGCCATTTCGTTGGTCGACCATTCATCACTGTCGCTCGCTAGTTTGTTAACGTATCTAACCTTTCAAACCATCTAAACAGCTTATCAAGGTCTGAAACACTTCCAAGCTAAAGACTGTTTCCCGTTACCCATATATACTCAGATCGATTCCATGAAAATATACATGAATTGCTTTATCGCACTCAAACAAAACAAATTCACTTCATAGTCAGGTTTTGTCAATGTCACCTGATAATCATGCATTACACGGCATGACGAAATTTTCTTCTGTTGTATAAACAGAAATATACCAACTGTGGCCGTCTGAACATTCCATCGGGATGGTGGGTAGTACAGAGCTCGTGAAAAAATATTTACCCCAAACTCAATAAAAGATTGGACTGCAATCGCTGTTGCTTCGTCAGGCCCATTCAGATTCAACAGGGTTGTTGACAAGCTTTGGAAGCAGCCGCAACGGCTGGAAAACATTCGTAAGAATATTTGCTATGTGTATTTTTGTGTCTGTTCTGAGTCCGTGACGAGACGATGTAGTTGACTTTCAGGAAAATATGGCATGTTGAGGCTAGATTTACAGAGAGCGAGCCAAAAGGTTAATGAAACGTATATACATAAATATATGTACAGGAAACAAGTGACAAATATGTCGCCATGATTATATCACAAAGTGCATGCAAACCTCGTGCAATCAAATCAAACAATGTTACATCATGCACTAGAACGGATGCAAGTTCATTGCCAATTCCAAGAAAGATGTATTTGAAGGAAAAAGTTCTTTCAGACTATGCTCATGAAAGGTTTACCGCTCGCATTCTTATGCTTTATATTCTTTATTGTCTTGGTCAAACATAAAAGAAAATACAGAATGTACTTCGACTGATTTTGTCTGTAGCGAATCAAGCTATGCATACGGAAGCTGGATCATGAAGCCCTTAACAACGTGGCGCAACAGACGATTGCTAAAGACGTCACGGAAAAAACCCAACAAGTTGATCTTACAAACAAGTACGCATTCAAAACTCATTGTTCAAGAGCAGAGGGTAGCAAAAACTGTCACTGGCCATG